AACTTATCATTAAACGGTATTAAATGTATTGTTACTATTCGATTAAAATACGATGATTATCCATCATTATTTACATTTACTGTGTTTTTCTACAAAGCCAACTATGAAATTGGTTTGAATGCCATTTTCGTGTATACTCATGCGTAGAAATATGCACGGAGAAACTCGCGCTAAATTGACGTCACAATAAGGTACAGAGACGTTAATAAAAATGTAACAATAAAGGCCAGTGAATAATTCAAACATTGATATTTTTGGTGCTTTTGAACATGTAAAATGTAAATATAAGGAATACTTTTTTAGCTTAGTGTGAATTATTAGTTTGTAAATCACACGGACTTTTTTCATGAAGAGCTAGCGCGCTTCATGAAATATGCCTGTATGTGACAAGTCTGTGTGATTTACACCCCAATAACTCCTCAAAAATTAAAACACTCCTTAAATATTAACTGTAACAGTAGCTGACTACAGTTTACTAAGCGAAAATTAATTTAGCAAACTTTATTTTACTATGGTATTTTTGTTTGGGTTGATTTAACATATTTATCCCAAGTTTTTGTCTTAAAAGCTACAAGAAACACAAGGAAACCAAATATAACTAGGAGACTAATTGTTCTTGAACAATTGGAGGTCTTTCCACCTTCTTTAAATTTCATATATTTTTCATATTTTACTCTCTAATGATAATTTTTATCCAAAAAGAATCCATAAATGGCTTGAAAGATAGAAAAAATGAAAATTTTTAAAAATTTTGAAATGACCTTGACCTTTGACCTTGAAGACATATTCAAGGTCAAAGGTCAAGGGTCACATTGCACTTGACCCCATGCTCCTACGACTTTTAGTTTTAAAGTTATAAGGTTTAATTGTCAGCGCAAAGACGTTAAAGGGCGATAACTCATATAGAGGGTCATCGGATACTTTCGCACTGAATAGATTGAAGTTGTGTCTAAAGACCCTGAAGACATTAGTGAACGTTTTGTGTCTCTACGGTTTACGGTTTCAGAGGAGTAGCGATAACAAGGTTTTCAGAAAAAGGGGCAATAACTTTTAAAAGGGTAAATCTTAGGGGACAAGTATGAAAATCTTTGAAGTAGTTTTAAGAGGACATATTAATGATGCAAAGATATTTAGTATATGTTGAAAGACAAAAGAGTTATAAAAAGAGCTTAATTTCTCATATTTTGAATGACCTTGACCTTTGACCTTGAAAAAATATTCAAGGTCATAGGTCAAGGGTCACACTGCACTTGACCCCATGCTTCTACGACTTTTAGTTTTAAAGTTATAAGGTTTAATAGTTATCACAAAGACGTTAAGGGGTGATAACTTATATAAGGGGTCATCGGATACTTTCGCACTGAAAAGATTAAAGTTGTGTCAAAAGACCCTGAAGACATTAGTGAAGGTTTTGTGTCTCTACGGTTTACGGTTTCGGAGGAGTAGCGATAACAAGGTTTTCAGTAAAAAGGGCAATAACTTTTAAAGGGGTAAATCTTAGGGGACAAGTACGAAATCTTTGAAATAGTTTTAAAAGGACTTATTAATGATGCAAAGATATTTAGTATATGTTAGAAGCAAAAAGAGATATAAAACGAGCTTAATTTCTCATATTTTGAATGACCTTGACCTTTGACCTTTGCATATATTTTAAAGTCAAAGGTCAATGAATCTTATGCAGTTGGTCCCATGTCTCTACGACTTATCATTTTGAAAATTTTTAATTATTCGTAAACATAAAAAACTTTCAGGGGCAATAACTCATAAAAGGGGTTGACGAATACTTTCGCAATGAAAAGATTGAAGAGTTCCCTCAATTAGTCGAAGACATTGATGATGGTTCCATACCTCTGCGGTTTGCAGTTTCAGAGGAGTAGCGATAACAAGGTTTTTAGGAAAAGGGGCAATAACTGCAAAAGGGGTCATAGGTCATACGCGTTGGGTCATTTTTCAAAATAACTTTAGATGTCTAGTATTATAAAATATAAAGTTTGTCGATAAGTCTTTTGGTGTCAAAAGTCCTAGCGGAAAAAAAATAATAAACTAGTAGACTAATTGTTCTCGAACAATTAGAGGTCTTTCCACCTTCTTCAAATTTCATATATTTTTCATATTTAACTCTCTATTGTTTATTTTTATACAAAAGAAACAAGAAATGGCTTGAGAGATGGAAAAAATGAAATTAAAAAAAAAAATTTAATGACCTTGACCTTTGACCTTGAACAATTATTTAAGTTCATAAGTCAAGGGTCACATTGCGCTTGACCCCATGCATCTACGACTTTTAGCTTCAAAGTTATAAGGTTGAATAGTAAGAGCAAAGATGTTAAAGGGCAATAACTCATATAAGGGGTCATCGGATCCTTTCGTACTGAATAGATTGAAGTTGTGTCTAAAGGCCCTGAAGACATTAGTGAAGGTTTCGTGTCTCTGCGGTTTACGGTTTCAGAGTAGTAGCGATAACAAGGTTTTCAATGAAAGGGGCAATAACTTTTAAAAGGGTAAATCTTAGGGGACAAGTATGAAATCTTTGAAATAGTTTGAAGAGTACATATTAAAGATGCAAAGAGATTTAGTATATAATGAAAGACAAAAGGGATATAAAAAGAGCTTAATTTCTCAAATTTTGAATGACCTTGACCTTTGACCTTTACAAAAATTTCAAGGTCTGAGGTCAAAGAATCTAATGCAGTTGGTTCCATGTCTCTACGACTTATCGTTTTGAAAAATTTTCATTATTTGTAAACTTCAAAAACTTTCAGGGGCAATAACTCATTGAAGGGGTCGACAAATCATTTCGCAATGAATAGATTGAAAAGTCCTCTCAAGTAGTCAAAGACATTGGTGAAGGTTCTGTATCTCTACGATTTACGGTTTCGAAGGAGTAGCGATAACAAGCTATTCTTGCAAAAGGGGCAATAACTTTGTAAGAGGTCATAGGTCAAACACGTTGGGACGTTTTTCGGAATAACTTTTAATATCCAGTATCATGAACAATAAAGTTTTTCGATGAGTCTTGTGGTTTCAAAAGTCCGGGAAGAAAAAGAATAATAATAATAATAATAATAATAATAATAAACATAAGCATTTCAAGAGGTCTTTCCACAGAAAGGTGGAAAGACCTAAAAACATAAGCATTTCAAGAGGTCTTTCCACAGAAAGGTGGAAAGACCTAATAAGGGACGGGCTGCGTGAGAAAAGGTTAACACTGTTCCCTAATGAAAATGTATTAATGGACTGTAGCCCGATTCATCGATATTGTGAGCATGCTGATTTTTTTTGGAAATAGCTTCGTTGTAAGCTTAAAAGATCGGGTTCGGATTTTAACATTTCTGACTGAATATCCTGAAATAAATATGAAACATTTAAATAAGCATTTCTTTGGGTTTAATTAAATATGTGTAGCCCAAATTAAATTTCCAACATGCATTTTTAGAAGGGAAACACGACAATGAAAGCGAGAATTGTTTTTAATATACCGAAAATCGCTATTTCTGGAAACTGATTAATTCTAAATAAAAATCAAATAAATTCCAAATGTAAAAGAAAGAGAGAATGCTTGGTATTAAAATGTCGTATCATATCAGGAGAATTAAATGCTACTAACGACATCTGAAGAAATAGCCGATAAAAGGTTTAGATCATTTCTTCGTTCACCTGCACTTAAATTTCAAACACAACAGAACTTGTAGTTCTTCCCGTGAAACTTCATGACTTCTATAAACTTATAAGACTCACCGCAAAACTCTCCAGAAAGTTTCGCTGAGGTCTATACTACATTTGTACCAAATTTGGTGTCGATCCGAGGTCTGGTTTGAATTCTAGAGTAATATTCTACATTGTTGTTGATGTGATTTTTTTTTTTAAGAAGTGGGGGGGGGGATTATTTATTTTATGCCTCTTTTAAATAAGAATTGTAACTACTTCCACATCCTTAAGCCTTATTGTGACCTTTGAGTCAAGGTCAAAGGTCAAGGTCAAGGTCATTCAAAAAAAAAAAAAAACTTTACTCTCTGTGTTTTTACCTGATACTGGAGCTGGATGCATGTCCTAACTTTTCCATTTGACCCAATGTCAAGGTCAAAGGTCAAGGTCAAAGTTCAAGGTCATTTGGTGAATTGCTATATTTTACACATATATAAGGGATTTCTTATGTTTTTTAAATGACCTTGACCTTTGACCTTGACCTATATTTCAAGGTCAAAGGTCAAATATGCCGACGCAGTTGGTCCCATGTCTCTAGGATACACCGTTTTAAAAATAAGTTCATTAAATGTAAGTAGCGTAAACTTTCAGGGGCAGTAACTCATACAAGGGACCAAAGAATGCTTTCGCAATGATAGAATGAAGAGAGTACTAAATGAGTCCAAGACACTGACGAAGGTTTGGAATCTCTACGGTTTACGGTTTCGGAGGAGTAGCGATAACAAGGTTTTGTTGCAAAAGGGGTGACAACTTTTGAATGGGTCAAGCTCGGGGGACAAGAATGAAATCTTTGAAATAGTTTTAGAAGGACATGTTATAGATGCAAAGATATTCAGTATATGTTGAAAGACAAAAGAGATATTAAAAAAGCTAATTTTCTCAAATTTTGAATGAACTTGACCTTTAATCTTCACAAAAATTTCAAGGTCAGAGGTCACAAAATCTAATGCAGTTGGTCCCATGTCTTTACGACTTATCGTTTAGAGAATTTTGTCATTATTCGTAAACATCAAAAACTCTCAGGGGCAGTAATTTATTAAAGGGCTCGACAAATCGTTTCGCAATGAAAAGATTGAAAAGTCCTCTCGAGTAGTCGAAAACATTGGTGAAAGTTCTGTATCTCTACGGTTTATGGTTTCGAAGAAGTAGCAATAACAGGCTATTCTTGCGAAAGGGGCAAGAACTCCGAAAGGGGTCATAGGTCATACTCGTTGGGTAGTTTTTCGAAATAGGCCTACACAGTCTCGCACAACGTAACTTCCGGTAAACAGCTTCCGGAGATAAACAAATACATTACTAGGATGACTATTTGTTTCGTCTTTGGTTGTAACCACCAAGGGTTACAGAAATCTTGTAAAATGTTTAGATTCCCACCGAATCAAGCGTTGGCAAGGAGATGGGAGAGACTCTGCAGGTAAGATGCATTAAATATGTAAATATGTATGTCAAAATCGTATTGGGGGGGGGGGGGTGTTCAAAGTAAAACGATTAATCTTCTGTTTGATGTGAATAATGTATTCAACATCTATATGTATAAATTTGACCTAATTCTAGACGCAAGGATAGATGTGTGAATCCTAATATGGACAGGATTTGCAGTTGCCATTTCAAAGACGGCATAAAGGAGAATGGCCCTACACAGTTTCCCTGGAGTTCCGGGTTTGATTTTCCAGACCCAAATAAAATTTCAAGGTAAATTTTGTAGTAAATGTAAATTTAAAAGGAAGTCAATTTTAATATTTGTAGTAAACATAGCGATAATTTTCCTATTAGAACTGTAAAATCTGAGGAAGAATATGACAGTCAGAAGCAGTGTGTGAACACAGATGAAAGCAGTACCTCTTCTGATACATGTGTCCCTGTGCTTCCTCCACATGTAACTGACCACCCATACCAGCTTTCATTTCAACGGTTAACTGAGGAGCACAAGGTTGGTTTGTTTTTTTCCCAGTTTTTTTGTGTAACAACATTATGATCATCATACTGTGAAAATTCTTTCACCTAAAACTAAATTGATTTAACTTCAATAGAATTTGAAACTGCAAGTAAAAGAATTAACAAGGCAGATTCAGGCGATGTCTACGAAAAGAGCTTTTACTTTGGAGGACATAATAGGAGATGAAAGAAAGATACGTTTCACACTAAATATCACTCAATGTTTAGAAACAACTGCAAGTACTTTTATTTGTCATTGTCCCAGGGAATTCTACTTTCAAATCCAACAGAATATATATCCTGTAAAATGCAGTTGATTATAGATCTCAGTTTTCAAGCCCATGATAAAAGTACATTCAAAATGTGACTCAAAGAAACCAATTTAATTCCTTATGCATTTATATACTTGCTACAAATTTTCTTTGGAACAAGATGCTTTGTGGTTTATCATTTCATTTTCAGTGTTTAAAAATGAAAATGGATGGACTGCTGGACAGTTCTATAAATATACAGACTGCTGGACAGTCCCATAGATATACAGACTGCTGGACAGTTTCAAAGATATACTTCATCTACCAAGGATGTGGACTGTGGGCAGCTAGAAATCAAATAATGATTGAAATAATATACTAAATAATAAAAAAAATCATGTTATACTGCTGGACAGTATTCTATTCATAGAGTTAAATTTTTATTAAATTTTTTTTGTTTTCACATACATGTTTGTTATACTGTAAAAGTATTACCTGAGTGAGATTTTTTTTGCAACATTTCACAATTACTCCCCATTGTATAATGGTCAAAAGCAAATGCAGTGTTAAGAATATCATTATTTATATAGATGCTGATGTATACAAGAGTCTAAGACCAGACATGTTTCAAGCTATTGACGAAATGATGTGCAGATTCACCATCAAGTACATCGATGGATGGACACCTTCATTTATTTCACAAAGTGATCAACTGCTTATGACCCTCATGAAACTTACCATGAACATGCCACTCTTAGATCTTGCCGAGAGGTTCAACACAAGTGCATCCTCAGTGAACAATATTGTAACTTCACAAATCTGTGCAATGCTTGAAGTTTTGTATGAGGGGTTAATAGAAAATAACATTCCGACTTTGCAAAAATGCAAAGGCTCAATGCCAACAAGTTTTGGCGATTTCAGTGCATGTCGCATTGTGCTTGATGCCACTGAAATTACACAGGATGTTCCTGGTAATGACATGAGGCTACAAGCTAGTACCTACAGTGGGTATAAAAATTCCCACACAGTTAAAAGTGTCACTGGTGTTGCCCCAAATGGTGCACTAGTTTTTGCAAGTAAATTGTATCCAGGAAGTACTTCAGATGTAGCGATTATTGAGCATTGTGGACTTATGCATCAACTGTCTCCTGGTGATATGATTCTTGCAGATAAAGGGTTCACAACACATAAACTCTTGCCACAAGGTGTGCATCTTAATATACCACCCTTTTTGACAGCTAAGTCTCAGTACACCCCTGCTGAAGTCAAGTTCTGTAGAAAAATTGCAAGATCTAGAATTCACGTTGAACGTGCTAATGAAAGAATAAAAAATTATAAAATACTGAGACACATCCCACACCAGCTCAGATATATAAGTACAAAAATCTTCCAGTTATGTTGTGTGTTGGTAAATTTCCAAGACCCTTTGTTGCAGGAAATTGCTCAGAATTTTGTACCAGAAAATAACTGAAAAAGTTTGAAAGCTATTGTTTATTCAAGATTAAAATATGATTAACTTGCAGATATTGACATTCAATATTACTCTTCAAACATGACTTGCATGCTATACATGACTAACTAGCATGTATACATGAAGGATTACTGCTGTAAGTGTGGTATAAATCTATGGAAATAAAAGTCAGTAAGAACAGAAATGTTTGTCTGCCAAACAGGGTCCTGGGTAATCCTCACAATGGCACAATCTTTCGGTGTCCAAACCATAAAATCACAGGCATGTTCCCAGTTATAAATAATTGTCCTTGAATTTGATCATAATACGGATGGGTCTCCTTTAATTTGTACGTTCTCTCTCCACAAAATTCTTGAAATTCTTTAAATGAAAATATACACATCACATATTGACAAAAACTGCAGTTCAGCATAAAAGATCAAGAGGATTACATGTTATTGGGATTCATTCAATCATTTTTCATATATGGAGTTAACAGTAAATTATAAGGGAATTTTTTTATACAAAATCTTTTTTTAAAACTATGTAAAGGTTGCTTACCTAAGCAAAAATCGTCAATGGTGTCAATTGCTTCAGGAATTGTCTTCTCTTTGGCTGTATATGGACACTTCACTTCTAGTACCGTAGGCCGAATATTGCATGCCTGCATTATGTGAATCAGAGCTGGAGATTGCTGATGGAATCCAAACGCAGCTGGCCGACGTACAATCCCATCAGGGCTACACCCCAGTACACCATTACTGTGGAGCCATATGCCTATTGAAAATAAAAAATAAATATATAACAGTTTGATAGCAAACATGTATAACAGAAAGTAATGACTAAGACTTTTTAAGTGCAGGTGAAAATAGTTTCCTCCATCTTACCTGTTGGTTCTACTACTGCATCTCCATATGACCTGTACTTATCTATGGCAACTCTTTCATTACAAACACCCCAAATTATAGCATTTTTTTTTGAAAGGTCGTATGCTTGGCAGAAGCGCTTGAACAGCGAAGCTGGATATCTGTACAAAGTGTAGGAGAAAATGATTTCAGTTACTTTTTAATTTAAGAACATGCATAATTTCATTAATACTCATAAAAGATTTACAAAATACATATTTTGATGTACCTGTTTCTTCTTACTGCTGCCAGAACACATCCAAAGTTAGAAGCTGTTAAACGATTTTTACGAACTGTAGACCAGAGACAGTTGTCTTTTTGACCAACAGTCAAAGCAGCAATCTGTCAGTATAAAAATACTATCAGAACTACTAAACATTTCAACTAGTTGAGACAACATTTTATATTACATAAACACACTTTAAAATTTAGTACTGGTCTGCATTTTGCAATACCTGTTGAATTTGTTGATCGTTCACAATCAGTTTCTGTCGCAACCAGGTCATGGGGTGCTCTGCAGCCAGGAACTCTTGATTAGCCAACAAGTCATCAAGTACTGGTACACATACCTGTGGTACAGGTGGCTCTGGTGCCAAAATCCAATGCATGGCTATGAAAATATAAATTTTATTCATAAGGTTCCTTGCAATGTGAAGAATTGTCACAGTGATGAAAATAACTTTACATGTAAAATGTTGAAAACATAAAAAGGTGTCTATTCACCAATTTCATTTTATGGCTGGGTTTTAAATTTCTGGTACCTTTGTTGAAAAATTAAAATTAAGATGTTTGTCATTCAATACACCAAAAAACATTGGTACAGAAAAGGGTGTATTTAAGGACAATTGGTGACAAAGACAAAAAAAAAAAAAAACCCTGAAAACATTATCCATTATGTTTCACTCAAGCAATGAAAGTTATACTGGAATGTAAAATAGTTAATATCTTAACACATTTTGGTAATGAACAGAAAAAACTTCAAACAAAATAAAGTAATGCAATAAATATGCACATGAAAATAACACAAACAGAACAAGATAAAACTTGTCACATTTTAAATATTCCACCTGAAAACCTTCCTGATTGTCTCAATTTTTGGTACAAGAAGTCTCTGTCATTGCCATCAACAGGTCTATCTATTGCCCTGGTGATATTTTAATTTAATGTATAACAGATGTAAATATACTTGTGTGTTTACCTCTCTCTCTCTCTCTCTCTCTCTCTCTCTATTATATACTGAAAAGAATTTTTATGAGAAAAAAAGGGACACTAAATTGATCACCCTGAGAGAGACAGCTCTTTTGATATACATATATATATATATATATATATATATATATATATATATATATATATATATATATATATATATATATATATATATATATATATATATATATATATATATATATATATATATATATATATAAATTTAATTTTGTTTGTATTCTAGCCTCTGATTGGTTAATATCCAAAAAGGAACACAAATTATTTCTGTATAACCTGGTTTGGTATGGGGACACACCCCCAAACAACCAGCTGAATCATCTGTATCCATACAAACCTCTCATTTCCAGTCCTCGGGATTCATGGAAAATTCCAGATTTAATAAATGTACCTTTAACTTCAAACAATAATTCGATCTTACCACATGTAAACAAACAACAAGGCTGCAGGGTTCTCGTTAACGCAAGAATCTGCGTCCTAGACGCAGCAAAATTACTTGGGACGCAAGGTTCTTAAAAACGATGCGTCCGCGGACTCATGATCGGACGCGTCCTCGTTAGCGAGAAAATTCGGGTGATTTCGAAAACGGGAAATTGAGATGTTAGGATTTGTCAAAGAAATATTTAATCAAAACCTTCCTGTAACTATCATAAAGTTTATCCAAGAAACAACTTTTCTTGTACTTATTTCTCTTTTTTTTTAACAGGGTGTGATCATAAGATATTTCATGTTTATTAGTCGATAGTCATAATAGTGTCGCATGCCAAACTCCGACAGCTGTAAACACACTGCAGCTTTTTTTAAAAAAAAAACACTTTTGAATGTTGAGTGTTATCTACATGTAGAAACCATAATTACTGCTTGTATTCACAATGCGGCTTGATTATCTCGTGAATTTTACCCAGTGCAGACGACCGACAGGATTAGTTACGCCTCATTGCACATGACACCTGTGATTGTATACAGTCAACTTTTGGGTACTAGTTGATTATGCAACAGTTAATTTTAGCTTTATAAACACCAAGTTATTTTTATGGCAATTGATTACGCGTGTATTTTTAGAATATGGCTTGAATGCATTACCAGTTTGTTAATATTGCGTAAACAAACTTTTGATGTCGAGTAACATGAACTATAAAGTTTTTCGATAAGTCTTGCGGTTCAAAAGGCTGTAGCGGAAAAATAATAATAATTATAATAATAAACAGAAGCATTTCAAGAGGTCTTTCCACAGAAAGGTGGAAAGACCTAATAAACACTAGGAGACTAATTGTTCTTGAACAATTAGAGGTCTTTCCACCTTCTTTAAATTTCATATATTTTTCATATTTTAAAGATAATTTTTATACAAAAAGAATCCATAAATGGCTTGAAAGATAGAAAAAATGAGAATTTTAAAAATTTTGAAATGACCTTGACCTTTGACCTTGAACAAATATTCAAGGTCAAAGGTCAAGGGTCACATTGCACTTGACCCCATGCTTCTACAACTTTTAGTTTTAAAGTTATAAGGTTTAATAATAAGCGCAAAGAAGCTAAAGGGCAATAACTCATATAAGGGGTCACAGGATACTTTCACACTGAATAGATTGAAGTTGTGTCTAAAGACCCTGAAGACATTAGTGAAGGTTTTGTGTCTCTACAGTTTACGGTTTCAGAGGAGTAGCGATAACAAGGTTTTCAGTAAAAGGGGCAATAACCTTTAACAGGGTCAATCTTAGGGAACAAGTATAAAATCTTTGAAATAGTTTTAAGAGGACATATTAAAGATGGAAAGATATATAGAATAGGTTGAAAGACAAAAGAGATATAAAAATAGCTTAATTTCTCTTATTTTGAATGACCTTTGACCTTGAAAAAAAATTTCAAGGTCTGAGGTCAAAAAATCTGATGCAGTTGGTTCCATGTCTCTACGACTTATCGTTTTGAAAATTTTTCATTATAAGTTAAACTTCATAATTTTTCAGGGGTAATAACTCATTGAAGGGGTCAATGAATACTTTCACAATGAATAGATTGAAGAGTCTTCTAAATTAGTCAAAGACATTGGTGAAGGTTTCATATCTCTACGGTTTACGGTTTCAAAGGAGTAGCGATAACAAGCTTTTATTGCGAAAGGGGTAATAACTCTTTGAGGGGTCAAAGTTCATTTACGCAGGGTCAAATGCAAAAATCTTTTACAGAGTACATTCTCATGGACTATAAATCTTTTCGAAAGATCTTGAAACAAAAAAGCGTCCAGCGGAAAAATAATAAAAATAACTAGTAGACTAATTGTTCTCGAACAATTAGAGGTCTTTCCACCTTCTTTAAATTTCATATATTTTTCATATTTTACTCTCTAAAGTTAATTTTTAAACAAAAAGAATCTATAAATGGCTTAAAAGATAGAAAAAATGAAAAATTCAAAAATTTTGAAATGACCTTGACCTTTGACCTTGAACAAATATTCAAGGTCAAAGGTCAATGGTCACATTGCACTAGACCCCATGCTTCTTCGACTTTTATTTTTAAAGTTATAAGGTTTAATAGTAAGCGCAAAGACGTTTAAGGGCAATAACTCATATAAGGGGTCATCGGATACTTTCACACTGAATAGATTGAAGTTGCGTCTAAAGACCCTGAAGACATTGGTGAAGGTTTTGTGTCTCTACGGTTTACGGTTTCAGAGGAGTAGCGATAACAAGGTTTTCAGTAAAGGGGGCAATAACTTTTAAAGGGGTAAATCTTAGGGGACAAGTATGAAATCTTTGAAATAGTTTTAAGAGGACATATTAAGGATGCAAAGATATTTAGTATATGTTGAAAGACAAAAGAGATATAAAAAGAGCTTAATTTCTCATATTTTGAATGACTTTGACCTTTGACCTTTGCATATATTTTAAGGTC